GAGAGAGAGAGAGAGAGAGAGAGAGAGAGAGAGAGAGAGAGAGAGAGAGAGGGAAGGGGGAAGGGGCGAGGGTATGGATAGGTTATTGGGGAAGCGGGTGGTGAAGACTCGGTGTGTGCGTGTGTGTGTGTGTGTGTGTGTGTGTGTGTGTGTGTGTGTGTGAGAGAGAGAGAGAGAGAGAGAGAGAGAGAGAGAGAGATTGCATCGATCATTTGCCTCCACCATGAATGAATCAGCTGTCATGTTTGTTTTTGTGAGCGAAGCCGCAACGGGTCATCTAGTGAACATGACGAAATTTAATTAGGTCAGTGCGACAGAATTATAATAGCATTATAGCACATAGATGAACTATGTCGACTGGATTTTAACCTTAGAAAGGCATAATGTTACACAACCTACTTTCAAATGAGCCTAATTGGGTGTTCATGAGAGGCCATCGTGCAACAGAAGATCAGCTTCTAGCCATTCTGACCCAGGTGAACAGAAGGCGAAAAACAAAGGCTCAATAAAATTACCAAATGCGAAGACTAATGGCAAAACAGTTTCGGGGAAGTGGTAGTTTATTCAAAACTGAAAACCTTGAGCGTTAGTGGCATTGAGTTTTCAAAGTTTCGAAGTTCCAAATTAACCGGACCTCGAGGGTCGGCGGCACTGGCCCGACATTGAGGTTGCAATCTGCCAGTCGAGGTTGAAAGCCACGGTTTTTACCTTTAACAAATTCACAGAAATATTATGCTGCCTATGAGCCGCTGTGGAAGTGCCGAACCTTGAGCGTCTGCTGCAAGTGCCCGATGTTGAGGTTGTGCCAATTTGGTCTTCCACTGGAGGTCAGCAGCCATGGCTCTTTTTCACAGCCACTGTGAGCCTCCTATGAGCCGTTACTGCACTGACCTGCAGCCACCTGTATGATGCCGAAACGATCTGTGGAGGCTGGCGTAGACGGGAAGAGCACATACTCTCCTTCTTAACCTGCTGGTTGTTGTTGAGGAGGTTGTGTGTTAAGAGAAGTGGCAGTTAGAAGGATAGGTTGAAGAAGAAAGGTAGCATCTTATGGGTGGAATTTTGCACATGCCCCCATCCATGCTCATCATTTTTGGCCGGCTTGGTCATCACATCTTGGTTTTTAGCCTGTGGCTGGCTCATCACTAGTGCTTGAACCTTCTTATCTATGTAACTATGTTTGAATCTCACCATGCATCAGTCGGCCCAGATCTGTGAATGTCAAAGGTGCCCTGAAGTGTGCAAACCATCTCTTTGCCTTGACAAATTGGTGCTCTGTGCATGTTAATTAGAGGAATACATAGACCAGAAGAGGGAGGAGGGTCATTCTCCGTAAGAGCTACATCGTCGCATATGTTTTTTTGTGATAGGTAGTATGTGTCCGTCCAGATACGAACAAGAACTTCTCAAGTTCTTATGCAACTGCCGTTCTTTGTGCGGATGTGACAGGGATCAAAATGCAGTGTCCGATGCAGATGGACTCGGTTTCGCTCCATGCCATTATGTCAACGAAGATGTAAGTGCCAATCATCACCGACTCAGTTGCTTCGGTTTTCAGTTCGAACTCTGGCATTAGGATTCACGACTTCTCAAGTTCTTGTGCAGTTAAGACGGTGAGGTCTGTTTTTGGACTAGAGGTATTTTGATAAGTTTCCATGCTGCCTGTGGTTGAACTTGGATGCAGGCTGTGGAGTGCTTGGATGGAAAAGGATGCCTTTTCAGAGATGGACTGACAATGGAAGATGGCCGGGAGATGGCGGTGGCTTGTGATGCCTGCGACAAATGGTCAGTACAGCAGCTGTTGACCCCTAAAATATTGTGTTTATAAGACTTTGTCCTTTATCTTTTCATCATTTGGGGCTGAATGAATCCCTGTATAGCCATGCTCCTCTTTCGTCGGCAGTAATCCATACTGAATTAACCGAATGCGTGCTCCTCTTTCGTCGGCAGTAATCCATACTGAATTAACCGAATGTAAGAAAGAAGAAGAAGAAACACGAGCAGGAAGAGGAGAACAAAAAATAGTAGTAGTAGTAGTAGTAGTAGTAGTAGTAGTAGTAGTAGTAGTAGTAGTAGTAGTAGAAGAAGAAGAAGAAGAAGAAGAAAGGAGAGGAAGAGGTAGAAGAAGAACAAGCAGTTCATTGCTTACACCCCCAAGTTGCCAACCCATCCGACTGAACCAGTTGAACTGAACAGATGTAAACCCTGCATAGATATTTCTCGAATCTCAATTGGTTAAAATAAGGCGTTACTGCTTCCCCCCCCCCCTCCCCCCGAACTAAGGCCTCCTTTCACTAGTTTCTCAGAAGAGGCGTTCTGGTCGACCCAGTTTATGAAAAGAGGCCTTATGTTCCACCAGTCTGCAATGAGAAGTGTGCAAAGGGGCAATTTCACACCTGTGGGCAGGGATGACATTGGCCATTATCAGTTTTTGGCCTGTTTGCAGGTTTTGATGACGGCAGCGATCATGGTACTGATGTCATTTATGGCCGTCTTCAACAATGGATGAAGGTGATTACATGTCCACATAATGACAGAATGATGAACCATGTGGACAACAATGACTAGTTTGCCAAATCCCCCTTTGCCCTTATCCCAGCCTCCAACCTGTGTGCATAGTGTCTGGCCCTTGATCGTCATGGATGCCAGCGATCAGATATAAATGTTGGTAGTTTGGAGGCTGGTAATCATACTGCCTGAGAAAAGCGGAAGAAAAGAAAACGGAAAAGCAAAAAGAAACTCCCCCTTTCTTCCGGACTCCTCGTCAGTGCACGGCCTCAGCAATGTTGGTATACTTTCAGTCGCAGGTCGATGAATCCAGACATGAATGTGTACGATATCAGTGTGTTGCAGTTACCAGAGATGAGCCAGGTTCCTCAATTTGTAACCCAGCTCTTGCTGGAGTTAAATCTTCTTTGTCTCTATGTCTGTAGGCTATGAGGCAGGTTTTTCAAATTGTGACCCGGCTCTTGCTGGGGTTAAATCTTCTTTGTCTCTATGTCTGTAGACTATCTGTAACTTTCAGACTTTTGTCTGACTTGAATTGTATGGAAAACTGACACTTTCAACATGAACGTTGTCCTGTCTGATTGATCGTTTCAGGTTTCACACTCGATGTGTGAACTTTCGTGCCAATGACATGAGCCAAGAATCTTGGCACTGTATAAGGTAGTGTGATATCTCCGCAGTCTCTGAAGTCTCTCTTCGTTACAAGCCAATACATTGCAGGCCCTCTGTCTGGCGGCCTATTGAAGTTCTGTTTGCAGTTTACGTTGTCGCATACTGTCTCATCTGTCATTCTGTTTGTCTCCCTCTGTTTCCATGTGCGTGTATTGTAGCAGACATAGGACTCTCTCTCTCTCTCTCTCTCTCTCTCTCTCTCTCTCCCCCCCCC